TGTGAGGAGGCCTTGGGGAGCTCAGAGCATCCACTGTTCACCTATTAGTACAAACTTCTTTTGACATTCTACCAACCAGTGTGGCCACACTCCTGCTGGGTGTCAGGACTGAATGTTGACTCTGCCATACCATATGAGAAAGGTGGATTGGAGCCTCACACTTTATGTGAATCAGAATCACTTAGGGATATTGTTAAAAGCACAGACACCCGGAACCCACCTCCGAACTATTGAGTGAGACTCCCTAGGGCCCAGGCCAGGCTTACTACACTCCTAAGACCTGACTGTCCTGGATCAGCTGATCCCTAAGTATTCAGCTGCGACTTTCGAGGGGGTTATGAGGACTTGAGAGATGGGGTCCAGCATGGTCTCTGGGGGGAATATGCCTAATTCAGGGGCAGGTCATGTGGGTGAGTGAAGCAGGTTGCTGTGACGCAGACGTTGAAGAATGAATGTTCATTTATTTGAAGCCGCCTTGACCCTGATCCAAGATTGCTGCTGCCGGGGAAGGCAGGCCTGGTGTGGACGGACCTCCTGACTTTTCAAGACAGACTGGAGGTCACTGAGCTATGATTTGAGTCAGTCTTGCATCTCATCAAGACACAGGTGGGGGCGCTGCTTTAAACTCTTCCTGCTCTGAAAGCCCTGTCCGTGGAATGGGTGAAGGGTGAGGGTGAGGCGGGTTCCACACGCAAAGGGAAAGAGACAAGTCCTAAGTAAAGATCTTGATGCTGCTCGATGGGACCATTTCCTCAGGTGTGGTCCTCAGAGTATGTCCCCAGCTGGGCATGATCCACCTTCCCTACTCAGATGTCTCCCGTTTTCCCCCAGTCAAATCCTACTCTTAGCAGTTTTCATGGCACCAAAATGCCAGAGTCTAACCACAGGGCGAAGGGGCACTCTTCCTAGGTACTGTCTGAACCTTAGCTGAGGGGTGATGCTCTCACAAGATGGAATTTTCACCTTCAGATTTGAGGGGCTGGGGTTCTACCTGGGATCTCTGGAATGTTCCACAAGGGAATAAATTCCTCTAAGTATTAAGTGAATTTGGGTCCATTGCTACATTTAAACCCAAATGCTGAAGATCTTCTCCTGCTTGGAATACCCTTTTTCCCACCACTTTGTGTATCTGACTCTCTCTTGTCCTTCAGGACTCAGCTTAGACTGTGTTCTGACTTTCAAGACGAGGCTGTGTCAGTCTCCTTTTAGCACCACAGTCCCAGGCAGGCCCTTCTGTTAGAATTTCTTCACATGAAATTTCAACAGCCTGCTTGCTTAAAAACATCCCAGTCTAAAATTTGTTAGGTGTTCATCACGCCAGCACTGTTTAAGTCACTTTGTGTCATTATCTCAGATAATCCTCATAATATCCCAATGACGTTGGCACTACACTGTATTATTCCTATGTAAGAAAACGAGGCTCTGAGAGATTAAGTAACTTGCCTGACATCCCATGGTCAGAAAGTGGTAAATGAAGACCTGAACTGTGTTTGTGCGCAGCGGAGCGTTCTAGGCTCTTTCGCATTTGCAACCAAAAATGCACTCTGCTGCCTCCTGGCAGTCCAGAGTCAGTATCCTAAAGTCAAGGATGGGTTTTTGGTTCATACAGCAAGTCCCAAGTTGGGCTCTGAAGTCAGACAGTTTGAGACTGTGTCCTTGCTCTGCCATCATCTGTGGTTAACCTTCAAGCTTCAGTTTCCTTCTCTGAAATGGGGACAATCTACCTGTCTTACAGGGATATGGTGGAAATTACATGACAGAATGTGTTTATCATCTTCACTGCTGTGCCTAGCACATAGTAGATGTTAAAAACATGTTGGGGCTGGGTGTGGTGGCTCATGCCTGTAATCCCACACTTTGGGAGACCAAGGCATGGGGAGGCGAAGCCGAGGAGTTTGACGCTAGCCTGGGTAACATAGTGAGACGTCATCTCTACAAAACATGAAACAATAAATTTACAAAGCATGTTGGTGGAATGAATGAGTTAAAGCTGCCAGTGAAGCCAACTTTTACTTGGAAAAAACATCCTCTGCCCCTTTAAAACCCTCTTAAAACTCCAAAAGGTGGGATTTGCTTTGGGAGAGGGTAAGTTGGATGCTGCACGTGGGTGAAGAGGCTGGAGGGAGTGGAGGTGGCAAGGCTTGGAGTTGTTTGCATCTCTCAGAGAGGTTATCCCATAGAGATAATAAATAGACGGTGGGAAGAATATTTCATTTCATTTGGAAGGCATGGACATCTCCATTCCATTTAAGCACCCTGCTTGTCAGTCACAAAACTTAAAAATTAACTGGATACATTGCCACTGAGGAATAGACTAAATATTTGGTCGGTCAGTCATGCCATATCTCTGCCACTCTGAGTGTAGAGTAGATGGCTAAACATTGCTAAACTCATTGAGAGTGCTTTTTGGTAAAGACGAGGTATGGGTACTTATACTTTGACCAGTCACACAATGCCTCCCTGTTCTTGGACTTTATCTCATTTCTCCATCTGGATTATTATATGTAGTTCAATGAGGCACGGATTTGGGCATGTTGATTTTGTGGAACTAATGGGTCAATATCTAATGTTTGTTTGAGTCCACAAATGTGAGATATTGACCCAAAGTTTGTGAGATATGGACCCAAACATGATTGAGATCATTAGAACAATGTGCTATCATGTTGGCTCTACCAGTGCCAAAGGTCTGACACAATGGCAGTATTTTATGGGAGGAGTATGGTTTTGTTTTGTTT